TCATTTCTGAAATTGCCTAACCTACAGCAAACCAAGGCAGAAACAGTATGACTCGGACTCTATTACTTGGACAGAAAACAAAAAGTGGGGACAGCCAACAAGTGAATCATTAATTCAGGAAGGGAATGCACGAGAAACAAGAGACTGATTAGAGTCTACAGTTTGTTAACACATGGAATAATACGATGTGATTGGCAATGGATTCTTCGAAGGGGAAACTAGATAAACACATAAGACTTCTGCTGATGAGGGTTTGATGAATTAGTTTAGCAGGTGGTTTTTATGGAGCATAAACAGTGATAAAACCTACACACTCAAGTACCAGTTTTCACACCCTGATACCAAAGAGGGGCAGCTGGTCTTTCTGAACATTGTCTTTGTGTTGAGGTTGGTTGGCTCGCCGAGCTGGTTTCTTGTTTTGCAGACATTTCGTTACCATGCTTGGTAACATCCTCAGTGCAGCCTCCAATGAAGCGTCGGTGTGTTTTGCCGCCTGGTTTTTAAACTCTAGGGTCCGTTGAGATGGATTGCCTCACTTCCGGGTTTCCTTTGTAGTGGAATGTATATGGGGTCGAGGTCAATGTGTTTATTAATAGCATGCTTCATGGAGTCCCATGCTTCCAGGAATTCACGTGCCTGTCTCTGCCTAGCCTGTCCCAGGATCTTGGAGTTGTCCCAGTTGAAGTCGTGGTTCTCCTTGTCCATGTGGATTGAGATGAGTGAGTATTGGTCGTGTCTTTTTGTAGCCAGTTGGTATTCATGTACTCTTGTTGTTAGTTTCCTTCCTGTTTGTCCGATGCAGTGTTTCTCACAGTCTCTGCAGGGGATCTTGTAGATGACATTGGTCCTGTCCATGGCGGGGAGTGGGTCTTTAATTCGGGTGAGCAGTTGTCGTAGGGTTGACATGGGTTTGTGTGCCACTCTGATGCCCAGCGGTCGTAGGAGTCTTGTGGTGAGTTCCGACGTGTTCCTGATGTAGGGTAGTGTGATGAGTGTGTTGGTGAAAACCAGAAGTGAGGCAATCCATCTCAACGGACCCCAGAGTTTAAAAACCAGGCGGGAAAACACACCAACGCTTCATCGGAGGCTGCACTGAGGATGTTACCCAGCATGGTAACAAAACATCTGCGAAACAAGAAACCAGCTCGGCGAGCCAACCAACCTCAACACCCACAACCCGAGCTACAAATCTACTCCAAAATCTTATTGTCTTTGAGTGCCCAGGAGACTGAGAATCCTGGAAGACCTTCTGATGATCTAAGCAGAGACAAACAATGTTTTTGTGTTACCATGCCAAGCACTATGCTGGTGAGAATGGATTCCCTGTTTGAACAGATGAAACTTCTAGAGATATAAAGACCAAGGAGTCATCAGAGGGTGCCTTGCCACCAAGAGATCTTTCAAAGGAAACTAGAAGACTTGTTCTGATGTGGTCTAGTTTTGAACAGCCAGGAGGTATTTGGAACTATATCAACAAGGCTGCGTATCTACAGAGAGCAAGTGGCATGATGCATAAACATGACATGGGGATTTCAGCTGTGTTAATGTGCTGATTTGGAAATTACCTTCTCTATAGATTAGTGTATTTCTTACCTAAGTAACAATTAGCCATGTTGGTTGTTACAGTAAACGTTTTAAAACCTAATATTTTGGCAAGTAATTCTCTCTGACGGTCGCTGGGAAATTAATTTCTCTTCTGAAAAATTATTTGTCTCTGTGGGGATTGTAATACATTGTCAGACCACTGTTAGATCCAAGCTTGACTTTGTTGTTAAGCCTGCCGATAAGAGGGGTGCTGTTGTAGTTTGGCGTACTGACCTCTACATTGCAGAGGCTGAGTGCCAGCTCTCAGATACCTCCTCCTACCTTCCCCTCGACCATGACTGCACCATGGAACATCAGGCCATTATATCAATTATGGTAAGTGACCTCATTTCATCTGGTGATTTCCCCACCTCTGCTTCCAAGCTGATAGCTCCCCCAGCCCTGCACTGCTCGCTTCTACCTCCTTCCAAAAATTCACAAACAGGACTGTCCAGGCAGACCCATTCTTTCAGCCTGCTCCTGCCCCACGGAATTCATCTCTTCCTACCTTGACTTCTCTCCCCTGGTCCAGTCCCTGCTCACTTACATCTGTGATTCCTCTGACACTTTACGCCGTTTTCAGAATTTCCAGTTTGCTGGTTCCAGCCACCTCCTCTTTACCATGGACGTGCAATCCCTTTCCACATCCATCCCCCACCAGGAGGGTCTTAGGGCTCTCCACTTCTTCCTGGAGCATAGGCCTGAACCATCCTCACCCACCACCACCCTCCCCTGCTTGGCCGAGCTCATCCTCACCCTCAAAAACTTCCCTTTTTAACTTCTCTCATTTTCTTCAGGTAAGAGGGGTGGCCATAGGTACCTGCATGGGCCCTAGTTATGCCTGTCTCTTCATGGGGTATGTGGAACATTCCTTGTCCCAGCCCTATTCCAGACCCCACCCACAATTCTTTCTCTAATATATCATTGATATCATCGGTGCTGCTTCCCTCTCTCATCTGGAATTGGAAAAGTTCATCGATTTCACTTCCAATTTGCACCCTGCCCTCACTTTCACCTGGTCTATCTCTGACTCCTCCCTTCCCTTCCTCAACATCTCCGTTTCCATTTCTGGGGATAGACTGGCCACTAATATCCACTGCAAACCTGCCCGACTCCCACAGCTACCTGGACTATACATCCTCACACCCTGCATCCTGTAAAGGCTCCATTCCATTCTCCCAGTTCCTCCGTCTCTATCATATATGTTCAGAGGAGGCCAACTTCAACAAGGGAGCCTCCGACATGTCCACCTTCTCCCTCAACCGAGGATTCCCTAGCACTGTTGTTGAGCGGTCCCTTAAATGGGTCTGACCCAACTCCCGTGCTTCCGTTCTCAACCCTTCTCTTCCCTCCCGCAACAGTGATAGGGTTTTCCTTGTCCTCACCTACCATCCCACCAGCATCCACATCCAGAAGATCATCAGACGTCATTTCTGCCACCTCCAGCGAGATGCCTCCACTGGACACATAGTCCCCTCCCCTCCCTTGTCATCTTCTGCACGGACCATTCCCTCTGGGACACCCTGGTCCACACTTCCTTCACCCCCAACATCCCCCTCACAGCCCCACGGCACCTTCCCCTGCAAACACTGAAGCTGTAACACCTGGCCACTTACATCCTCCCTCCTTAGAATCCAAGGGTCCAAACATACCTTCCAGGTGAAGAAACACTTTACCTGCACTTCCCACAATCTAGTCTACTGCATTCGCTGCTCACAATGTGGTCTCCTCTACATTGGGGAAAATGAAGCGTAGACTGGGTGACTGCTTCGCAGAACATCTACGTTCTGCTCGCAAAAAAGACCCTGAACTACCTGTTGCCTGCCATGTTAACATACCATCCTGTTCCCTGGCCAACATCTCGGTCTCGGGCTTGCTGCAGTGTTCCAGTGAAGCTCAGCAGAAGCTGGAAGAACAACACCTCATTTTCCGCTTGGGGACCCTACAGCCCTCTGGACTCAATATTGAGTTCAATAATTTTAGGGCCTGAACTCGCCCATGTCCTAGCCCCCTACCCCACACACCAGGCCTTATTATCACATAGCCTGCCATTACACACCACCTATTGTTAGTCACTAACAGTCCCCATTAACAGCCATTCACCTCCCAGCCTGATCATTATCAACTCCTTGGTCTGTCCAACTGTTCTTCTCTCTCTTTGGGCTCTATCCCCATCTATCATTTACTCCTTAGCCACCCCCCACCCCCCCCCCACCCCCACACCCTACCTTCTAAATATAAACTGACATTTTCCCAGCTACCATCAGTTCTGAGGAAGGGTCACCAGACCTGAAACGTTAACTCTGATTTCTCTTTACAGATGCTGCCAGACCTGCTGAGCTTTTCCTGTTTTTGTGCACTGTCAAACCCAATGGCCTATTTTGCAGTACCTATTCAAGTTTACATGTGAAACTGGAATAGATAAGAAGCTGTTGTAACTCCAAATAGAACTTCAATCAATAAAATCTGCATGGTTCTATGCTACAGAGATTAGTTTACCACCTACAACCATGTCCCAAGGAAGAGCATTCGAAAAGAGAATTCCAACAACTATTTCAGCAGGCAATTCATGCCGAGGACTACAGAAAGGATTACCCATTTAGTATTTCAAACCCAATTGAGACTACCTTCAGCAGTTGTACTTTATGTAAAGACACTATTCTCCTAGAACCAGTCAAAGTAATTCAAAATTTGCTCTTACTTCCCAGCTGGACAGCCCTTGAATCACTGATCTGCGTTTAAATTTATATGTTAAATTAGAGTTTCCACGCTCTAGCTGAAGCTAGCCAAATCTTCCAACATCACTTAAACCCTCATGACATTGGTCTCTTCTATCTCAACAAGAGCTCTCACTTACATTTTCTGTAGCGAACACATTAGAATCTCTCTCTGTCTCACACACACATGCTCACACACATTCAGACACACTCTCTCTGCTCTCTCTCGCACTCTCTAATTCTTTCAGACTCACACTGTCTGGAAGGTTCAGTTATACTCAGGAAATATTGCAATGCTCCAATATTTTAATAGTTTCATAGAGACCCATACTCTCGCAAAGCCCAGGAAAGCACTTGTTAAACAGGAAATGGACACATGACATTGGGACAGCATTCATTACTTTGGCTTGCCATCAGCAACATACAGAACGTGTACTCCAATTGGTTAAATTTAGCTCTTTAAGTGATCGAGTGATGAATGGGCATTTGCCTGAGTGCCATTGGTACTGTATCCTAGCAACAGTCCAGGCCTTCCGTAAGAAAGGTTAAAATTAGTTAAACATTTTGCTTAAACAGTCATGGTAATAACATAATGAGAATTATCATAGGATTACAAGGTGAAGTGGTTATGAAAATTTAAATTCCTGCCCCATTGTTCAGGAATGACAACAAGAAACACAATGGAGAGGTGTTTCCTACCTGCACATGAATGACCATTGCTCTGCAGGTAGAAGCCAGACCGACAGGAACACTGAAAGCTGCCCACCACATTCTGACACCTCTGTTGGCAAGGAGACCTGTTCCCTGCACATTCATCAAGGTCTGCAATACAACAGCACGTCAGTATCAGACTGGAAAGGGACAATTTACCTTCCCACTGATCTGTACACATCTCAGTGGGCTATTTTTGAATAAAGAGCTTATAAAGAAAGTATCATGAATGAGTACTGATGCACTTCAGCATGGTAGGTCTGGGTTGAAGTAATGAGATTAATAGCAATAACTATAATAATTAATGAATAATAACAATGACGAAGAAAAGATTCTTTGAAGACATATCTGCATGCTTCATCTGACAAAACATTTTACCTTTGAACTATGGTAATAGACAATAGTCTTATGTTTCTGGCCATGTTGCGCTGAGAGGTGAGAGGACTGGCAAGATATGGGGAGGAGAAGAATCAGGAGGGGTGCCCAATGAATTTTCACTTTGTTGGCAACTTGGCACGGTGGTGGCATGTTTGGTGAATGTCTCGCCGGCTGGGAGAACAACTGAACTACTTATGTAACCAATTCAAGGCCACTCTGTTATGCCGAGGCTTTATCACCGTGTAGCAACTTTGTGGTGATGTCACAGAGCTGCTTCTCACTGGGAATAAATAGCACAGTGTGGGCGGAGCTCAGGACGAAGAGAGAAAGAGTGCAGAGAAGCATGTGAACTAGATCAAGTAGCATTAGGCATAAATTCCATGGAATTGTCTCAATAATGTAACAGGACAATTAGTGTCTGGTAGACCATGTCTGAGACTCTCAATACCATGTACTGTAGCATTTCGTCCTAATGCATAAAAAGCAGCATTATAAAGAAGTGGAGACTTGAAGACAGTTCTTGACCTTGCTTTCTCCTCGACCATTCTGTCTTGAACCAAAATCCATGGATGCAGGCATCGAACTTCATCATAAAATACCTTTCTGCCTTTGTGAGCATTTTTGCTGTGGCGGCATGGCCCATTGCCATGTGGGGAGAAAACTCCAGTGAACATGGTGGCCTCCCAGTACTTTAAAGAGGAACCGGGTACTCCATGACCGATATGTAGGAGCACCCAACAGCAATGTCCACTCCTGCAGCTATGGAGCCAATGGTAAATCACAACCCTCCCCAACTCCCTTCTCCAATCACCAGGCTCTAGTCACCCTACCACCTACAACCTACATCATGAACATTCATCAAGGATCTCTAAGGTCCTTCAGTAGATCTGTAGCTCGGGTTGTGGGTGCTGTGGTTGGTTCATCAAGGACGCACAGCCATTGAGGTGCCATCTCCCAGGAGCTACAGCCTCAGCCTTAACCATGGCCCCTGGAGGCACTATTGAGGCTGACTATCCACTCTTGAGGGTTGGCAGCATACTTTATTGAAAAACAACCCTTGCGGCAGCCAGTAAATTAGTTGTTGCCACCGAAAAGTGTTAAAGTTAATCTCTCTCTGCACCATCGCTGTAGCTGCAACACTGTATTCTGCATTCTGTTCTATTACCCTGATGCACATATGTAGGGTATGGCCTGCCTGCATAAGCATGCAAAACAATACTTTTCACTGCATCTCAGTACATGTGACAATTAAGAAGCAAACCAAATCAAAATGTCACCTTGGGTCCTGCTTTTGAGCCTTGCAATGGAAGTGCTATCTCAGGAAAATTCAACGCAACTTGTACATCTGTACACAAGGAACTTTTTATTAAAAAGATGGAAATTCCAGTAGTACAGCACTCTTACAGTACTGCAGTGGAGTCAGCACTGATTTAGTGCGCAAGTTTACAAAGTGGGACTTGACCCACAAACTTTGGATTCTGAGATGGGAGTGCCACAACCAACAGCTTTGAATCATATCGGAAAATTGTCACACAGTCTCCAGCAACCACCAGTTTAAAATCACCTCAAATTCTACTGGACTCCTGTCGTGACAGGAAATTGGTCAGAAAGCTAAATGCAGCGTTTGAATTGTTAAACAAGGTGACAGCACAATTGGGTGCCTGAATCGCTTTCTCTTCTGGTGCCAGTCGACAGTTTCCGACCCATTATCAGCGAAGCCAGGTTGAGGAGCAGACGAGTGAAACAGCTTCCAACCTGGAGGTGTTAGATTCAGAGGAAAGCAAAACTATTATAAATATAAACTTCTCAATGGCATTTCTGAGGAGCAAAGGGTAATGAAGGGAAAGGGCACTGAATGTACAGCATTATATTTCTTTATCAACAAGGATTCCATTTTGTCAGAGAATTTCTCAGTTAAGAACAGCTTTTATTTAAAAGTTAATCTTAGGGTCTGCTTGAAGTGCAAAGTTCCTGAAACTCAAGTACATAAATTTAACAAGTCTTACCTTCAATTAGTTACTTATCGAGGACTATTTAATTGTGTTCTCGACCCAATCCCTGATCTTTCCTTAATCCTCCCTCTCCTTCCCCACCTTTTATTTGGTTCTATACTTACTTCATTAACTTCTTCTTGTTTCGATGAATAATCACCAACCGGAAATTCTCTCTGTCTTTCACCGTACACAGATGCTACCTAAACCATTGGGTATTTCCTGCATTCTCAGATTTTATTATAGATTTCCTGCATCAACAGTATTTTGCGTTTAAATCAGTTAATGTGGCGAGATCGTTTACAGCATAGGTGGATGATAGCTGGGAATTCAGGGGGGGATCCATATTCCTGGATCCTTGCTGAAGAGTTGAGTCTTGTGTCCTGCCATTTAAGGCACATTCTCTAAGAGGGTCATTTCAATGGGAAAATATACAGGAACAGCTTTTAGATGAAGCCATACACAATTCTTCAATTTTCTGACTAGATTATTACCTGTGCTCACCTTGGTCACATTGGATGATCAGTTCAGGCCAGGCCCATTGTGTGCGTAAACTGCAGGCTGTAAGGTATGAACACTTTCCTAAGCACGCTTCGTTGTTTTTGAGAGCTTTGTTTCTGACTGCAGAATGTTTGCTTTTCGGAATTTTTTTTTCCCAGACGTTGATGATTATAAACTTTTTATTTATATTTTTTGCAGGATGAAGGAGAGTTTGAAAAAGGGATATGGTGCAGAATCACTGTACCTGAGGCAAACAGGCAGGCCTTGTCCATACAAGTGCCAGAAGATAAATTGTCTTTGTACTCTAAATTATCAAGGGGGCTACAGAGAATTGGTTGAGTCTATGGGAACATGATCGATGGACAATCTGCACTTTAGCCAAAGTGACGAGTTAAGAGTTTACTATACCTTTACTAAGAATAGCACCTGGCCATTTGCAAAATAACCTATGTCCTAGATCATATGAAACAGAGCCCAAATTTGCATCAATCCAGCAGAATGTCCTTTTGTTATCATACCTTGTAAATAGCTATATCTAACAAAGCTTAGTAATGTTCTTTCATTAACAGCCAAGATCTCATGTTTGTTGTGGCTGCGCACTTTTTTTTTTCTTTATCCATTCACAGGATGAGAGCATCGCTGACCAGGCAGCATTTATTGCTCGTCACTAGTTGCCCAGAGTGCAGTTAAGAGTCAACCACATTGCTGTGGGTCAGGAGTCACATGTAGGTCAGCCCAGGTAAGGATGGCAGCTTCCTTCCCTAAAGGACATTAGTGAACCAGATGGGTTTTTTTGACAATCAACAATGGATTCTTGGTCATCATTAGACTCTTAGGTTCACAAATTTATTGAAATCAAATTCCGTCTGCGGTGGGATTTGAACCTGGGTCACCAGAATATTACCTAGGTCTCTGGGTTAACAGTCCACTGATAATACCACTAGGCCATCACCCAGTAGCTTTTACAAATAAAACCGTCAAAGGTACTGCTTTTTGCAAAACCCAAATGATATACATAGAGATTTATTGGAACCTTCTTGCTGTCTACTGGCTCACACATTGCTGTCCTGTATCAGCTTGTCCGTTGGCTGCATTCCCTTGGTTACTCACGCACCTATTGTTTTATGTTAATATTGACACTCTCGTACACTTCCCCATTGTACCAGCCTTGTGATGCGTACTCCTCTTAGTCTTGGACTTTTGAACCAGAATCATGCAGCAGCTCATAAAACTCTGCAAGTTGTCAAAACTGCACACTTCACTCAGTGCACTCCTCCCTCCAGGTCAGACTCAATCACATCCATGGCAACCATCACACCGTCAGAGGAAGGAGCAAACTGACTGGCCTTTGATTCCCCTGCCCCAAAGCGATACAAAGAAGGATAAAATCTCCTCTGCCTTGTCCCTCTCTTCTACTCGAGATCCCAAGGTCAGTGAAGATGGAGGTGCATTTCTCAATGGGGGTATTCCCAACTGGTGAAAATTGATTTCTTCCAAAGACACCAGAGGTTTGGCCTTTTGCAAAGTGGAATGGGCCTGCACAGCCAGACGAAATGCATCCCCTTGTTTCCTTATGGTCTAGGGAAAGAAGCTATCTCTTCCCTTCAAAGCTCCTCCACAAGAACCTGTAACTGTTTTGAAATTGTTTTCTGTTATTAGTTAAAATAAAGGAAAGCTTTAGCTAATCAGTATTGAATGTTAAGCCTCCCCTCGGGATCTGGCATAGGGCAGTACTTTCTGTAGCCAAACTCCATCTCAAAAACTTTAAAAGCTCCATCCTGTGTAAACAGGCTGAGGACTTTCTGAAAGCATTCAGGTGGGAGCATTTTTATATTTAAATTACATCAAGCTCCTAGACAAAACTTGTACGCTGGGGCCCAATTTCAGGTTTCAGAAAGACCAATATTTGGAGAAAACAGGCCATCTCAAGAGCAGGAATTATTCTGAATGATACTATCCAGCAACTAACAGAAAGATCAGGTTGAAATGTGCATCTTGGTTGGGGTCAGCTTTGGGCCCATGTTTAAATAAATTGCTCATGCATACCCACTATGGCATTGAGCCGCACAATGACCAACATCTCCAGAAAGGTATTCCAGCAAAAGGCAACCAGGGGAAGAAGGGAATTGTCAATTCATAATGCTTATTTTCAATCACACTGTGGGGTGGGAAATGGGGAGAATCAATGCCACAGTTCTGGTCTACATATTGAATGGGTCATTAAGAAATAGGAGCAGGGGT